AATGTTTCTATCCAGTTATGCAGTTGTCCAGAGATACCATAAGATTTTAGTTTTAGGAGTAGTTTGTCGTGTATCACTGAATCAAAGGCTTTACAGAAGTCTATGTAGATTGTGTCTATTGCTTTGCCCTGATCAAGTTGTATAGTCCATATGTTTTTGCAGTGTAAGAGTTGCAGATTACAGGATAGTTTTTTCCTGAAACCAAATTGTTTATTAGAGTTGTTGTCTCTAAGTGGAGGATTGGTTAATAATTGATTCCATGACTTTACAGGTGACGCAGCATAAGGAGATTGGTCTGTAATTTTCAACTAGGCTGGGGTCTCCCTTTTTGAAGATGGGGATGACTGTGGTTTGTGACCATAGGTTAGGCAAGGAGCTGGTCCTGAAAGATTTTTCAAAGATTATGCTTAGAGGTTCGGCTATGGCAGTGGATAGCTTTTTTAAGAAGTAGGCACATATTCCATCCGGTCCAATAGATAGAGATGGTTTTAGATTGCGTAGTGCTTTTTCAACATTGTCTTATGTAAAATTGATATGTATTAGATCATTGTAGTTTTCTGTGGTTTGGCTAGGAAATACTGGGCATGATCCATTGCTGTTTACAAATACTGAGCCAAAAATGTATTAAAGAGGTTGGCTTTAATGGTGTCGTCGTTGCAGTCTTTACCATTAGGTCCTATTAGGAGTGGGATGGACCTTGAAGTCTTTTAGTTTGTTGTTTACAAAATTGTAAAAAGCGGGGGTGGAATTGGTGCATAGAAGGTTTTCCTCTTGTTTAATGTGATAATTGGTGCATTCAGTCTTTATCGGGTGGCATAAATTTTTGTATCGGCTTTTGAACTTGGCAACATGACCAGGTTTGTTTTTCCGCCAGAGTGATCTCTTTTTGGATTGAAGTTTCCTTATTGTTATGCATAATCTGTTTTTTTGTTTTGTTTTGAGAGTTGTTGTTGGTACATGTAGTTTGATGACTCTTTTGACTTCAAGTAAAAATATGTTGTAATGGTCTTCAACAGTATTGCATCCAGTGAATAGAGATTGCCAATCAAGGGATGAGAGATCGTTGTCTATAAGATCATAGTTGACTTTTTTGAAGTTATAATTGGGGATTACATCATTGTGATGATTTTTTTGTGGGCGTACGTTGAGACAAAAGTCAATCATATTGTGGTCACTGCTGGAAAAGGGTTCTTTAGTTTGTACTCTGTAAATTAAATTAAATTTCTGCTACCGGTTCTCCAGAACTGGTCAGAACCTGCTGAATACCACCTCTACTTTCACTGGTTAATTGTCCTCACTGTTTGGAAGTTTCTCCTTAATTCCAGGTTGCTTCTCTCCTTGATTACTTTCATCCTTCCTTTCTTGTGTTGTCTTCTGGTGCTTTGGAAAATAAGTTGACCCGTTCTTCTTTGTGGCAGCCCTTCAAATATTGGAAAACTGCTGTCATGTCGCCCCTAGACCTATCAAATTGATGAGAACTTCTTCAATATATCAATTGGCTAAGAGACATGTGTGTATGGAGGCTTGCTTATTATGAACCCAGGTTTCTTAAATTCAAAGATCCCAGCAAGAATGTGTAAAATGATGCCTTCAAAATCTTATACCTATAATATACCCTGAGCAATTCCACTTCAAAGGCAAAACGATGGGTTGGAGGTCTGAAAATAGACCAATTTGCGCATCGTGGAAATGAATCAATGTTTTGACCATTTCCCAAAGTGCTCAAGACAGTCCATTTTTATGCTCAAGTAAATAAATTTGCCTCTACAGCAAGGTGTTTGACAGCATTTGCGTGAGCCATGAGGTTTAGCGTGAAGAATAATTCAAGATAAAATGTTTTATGTACCTCTCTTTCTCAGTTTGGCCAATATGGATATTGTTAGACGGTCTTCTCTGGCCATGATGGTTAATGGCCAGAAGCTTTTGCGGGGTTGAAGAAAAAGTGAAAAGCTGAGATTGATGACCGCTACGGTTTAATAGGGCTAATGTAGAAATTTGAAACATGTCCCATTGCTTAAATTCAGCACTGAGATGACCTATTCCCAAGGAATAATGCCAAAAGAATCATTACCAAACTCTAGTATAGATTGAATTAATAATTTGTTGGCCTGACTTGCCAACTGCCCCATCTTCTTGGAATTGGACCCTTATATCTGCCCTCATTATTTATGCATTTATTTATTTTACGTATTAACGGAATTTATATAGTTGCCTAACTCACTTGCGGTGACTCCGGGAAGCTTAGAAAGATTAAATACCCCAGTACAAAAATCCAGAACCTCCCAACTTCTCCTGGTGGCAACAACCAGACTACCTACTTGGTAGACTCCATCCACCTCTGGGGTCCTCAAAGCCAGTTTTTCAAGGCTTTGGAAAGAGTATCAAAATGCGGGCCAGTCTTATCTCTACAGGAATGATATTCCACAGGGAGGGAGCCACCACAGAGAAGGTCCTTCTTCTTGGTCCCACCAGATGGTCCTTAAGAGAGAGGACCCACTGCTGCTAGATAAACCCCACCCTAGCTTTGGGGATAAATTACAGGGGTGGGATTCAAATTTCTTAGCAACTGGTTCTTTGGGCATGGCCTAATTTGTGGGTGTGGCTTGCTGGTCATGTGACTGGCTGGGCGCGGCTTGTATGTCAATATTGTAAATATATATGTAAAGATTGAATTTTTTTTATTTTAAAGAGCAACTTTTACCCCAAATCAGGCAAAGCAGCTTGAGTTGCTTGCAGAATCACAGCTTCACTCAGAGATCTACCTTTCTGCAATCTGCTGCCTGAGTCCGCACTGAAAAATAGAAGCTTCCATCCGAAGGAAGGTTCAGCTCTGCTCTAAGGCCACTTCTCCTTCCCCCAACCCCCTGAATACCACCCCTGACTGGGCCACAGGGTGGGTGACTGGGTGGGGGTCGGTGGGGAGGGGAGGGGCCAGCCAGTGGTGTGATTTGCCGGTTCTCCAAACTGCACAGAATCGTAACAACCGGTTCTATAGAACTGTTCTGAACTGGTAGAATCCCACCCCTGGGATAAAAGTCAGGGGGCAGAGATGAATAGGTGTGGCATTCATCTTCTGGCTGGTCGGACTTCTTAGCCTGCGGTGAAAGAGAAAATTTTTGCCTGAGCTGCTGGCACTCCTAATAAAAAAATCATTGATTGGGATGGTCGTGTTTGGTGGGAGCTAGGTCAGAACCTCCATCTTACAAGTAATCCTCCATCTAAACTCTGATTTGTCTTCTTCACAAACGTTCTTCCAAAAGTGCGCGACTCCTTGATAGGCTTTCTGGTTTCCACGTTAATCTCCAGCTTCCGTGTAAATGAAACTCTCCATTGGGTCTTATCATGCCTTCAATCCAGAGGTGGGTATTCAGCAGGTTCTGACAGGTTCTGTAGAACCAGTAGTGGAAATTTTGAGTAGTTTGCAGAACCAGAAAATCCCACCTCTGACTGGCCCCGCCAACCCCATCTATTCTCTGCCTCCCGAGTCCCAGCTGATTGGCTGGGTCTTCTTTTGTTGCGCTGCACAGGAGAACAGAGCTGGGAAGCAGGTTAGTTACTCCTTCACTCAAAACGATGCTATAGAGCACCGCACACCAGAACAACTAGACATAAGAACAGTTTTTCCCCGAATGCCATCACTCCGCTAAACCATAATTCCCACAACACTGTCGAACTATTTACAAAGTCTGCACTACTATTACTATTAACTTTCTCATCACTCCTTATCACCCATCCCTTCCCACTTGTGACTGTATGACTGTAACTTTGTCGTTTGTATCCTAACAATCTATACTGACTGTTTCCTAGTATGATAGGATTGCTTGTTGTATCCTATGACTATTATTAAGTATTGTACCTTGTGATTCTTGACTCTTGATGAATGTATCTTTTCTTTTATGGACACTGCGAGCATTTGCACCAAGACAAATTCCTTGTCTGTCCAATCACACTTGACCAATAAAAAATTCTATTCTGTTCTATTCTAGTGGGGTGGGGAAGGAATGTGGATTTTACAGCGTCCTTCCCCTGCCACACCTACCAAGCCACGCTCACCAAGCCACACCATACCTACCAAGCCATGCCCACCGAACCGGTAGTAAAAAAAAAAAAATGAATACCACCACTGCTTCAATCATCTGGCAACAGCTTGTCCAATCATTCTGGGTATTGGGTCTGGGATCACCATTCAGGCAATTTCACTGACAACATGTGTGGTTGGTATATGCTAAGATGCCCTTGAGGGTTTCTTGGGTGAAGAAGGGAACAGAATGTGCATCTCTAATCTTTCCACGGTATTGTAAACAGAATACGCAATACAGGGTCTGAAATCTTAATCAAATTTTCTTATTCACCAACAATGAGCATTTGTTTGATGAGCGATAAGGGGAGATTTGGTCCAGGAGGGCCCTCAAGATGCTCCTTAAACATCTCAAGATGCTCCATAAACATCTGTCAAATGGAAATCAATTTCAAAACAAATCTACCTGCAAAAACAAACCCACCAAAGCACATTGAGATGTTTGATTATTTTGCATTATCCCAAAAGGTTTTCATAGAAAAAAAATTATATTTTGATATAATTGCCCTCACCTCTCCTTATCTAGTTTGTCATGATGGTTTTAGTTTGAAATTCATTGGCCTTGGGTTAACATGATTCACCTGACTGGGTGGTGGGGAATGGAAGGATTTATATTCCCTGCAAACAGCTGGTCATTTGCATTATTTTTGGAGGGTTGTTGAGGCCCCTTGGAGGCTTATCTGTGTCATGGTGGCCTCAACGACTCTCCAAAAGAATGCAAATGATCAGCTATCTGTAAGGAGTAGGAATCCTTTCGTTCCCCATCATCCAGTCAGAGCTGAAGAAGCTTTTTTGGATGAGAAGCAAAATAACTTCAAAGAAAACCAGAAAGTTCAGTTGCCTCTTTAAAAATGCACCTTTAGTCCAACAAGGGAGGTTTTTAAGGTTCATCTCTCTCTTATTTCCTCTCTCTCTCTCATAGCAAGAACGACTCCAGCTCGACCGGCTGAAGAATCAACTTTCCGATGCCATTCAACGATATGGAACAATACAAAAGGTAAGAATGACAGGGCAGGACCCTGGAAATGAGAGAAGTCCGTTGCCTTTTCTTTCTTTCTTTCTTTCTTTCTTTCTTTCTTTCTTTCTTTCTTT